GGAGGGAATAAGTGAAACTAAATATTTGAATAGATGCACTGATACTTTTTCCAGAAATAAAAATAGAGCATTTGGGCTTAATTGTATTTTTCTTTATTGATTGTTTACAGATAATGGATACAAAGTTGGTAGTTTACTTTCTTGAAAATTTCAGATGGGCCATCCCATTACTTTAATACTCAAAAATATTCTGAAGCAGAAAGATTCAGTTCCTTTAATGGAGTAATTATCTCACTTGTAATTTCTTATGTGCTCCCCCCCATAAATAAAGGAAACATGAGAGAAAATACAGCTGGAGAAGTAATCAGTGGAAACACCAGGGCAGGCTTTCCTACTCTGGTGTCTCCAGAAAAGGTGAGACCTCAGTTGACAGGTTTTCTAGCTAACTTTGGCTATGCTGGCTAGGAATTCATGGAATTTCAGTCAGAAGATATTCAGAAAGATTATACTGGGGAAGACTGCAGTGGGGGCTACAAGGAGTTACTGTGGCTGATGTAAGCCTACCATGAATGACGTTACAATATGACAGTTCTGCATCAGGTGATAGATTCCCATTTCGGTTACAAAATCTCCTTCTCTAAGATGATCATCAGTTTCTAAAAAAACCTCAATTTAGGAATTAATTGTGATTGCATTTTACATTGAGTAGCTGCAAGGTGACTTAAAGCATGTGCATCCCAAAACTCCTGAGGCAAAGAAGATAATCCATTGCATCAGACTCTGCATAGTCTGCCTAATTTGTTTCCCTCCAAACAGAATATAGCTTCCTGGGACCAGACCTTTTTTTAATTGTGACTTATGGATAGTCAATTAGAAAAGACTCATGGAAGATTGGTTTTGTATATGGTAACTGCAGCAAAATTACTATGTGCACAAAGATGGAGAAATACTGAAACACCCACAATGGAGGAATGGGTTGTGAAGATGACAGAATTTGAAGAAATGGCAAAACTGACCTGTTTGATCAGGGATAAAACAATAAGTACTTTTATAAAAGACTGGAAACCTTTTATGGACTTTTTACTGAAAATGGAAAATAATGAAATGGCGAGTTCCGGATTTGCCGATTGAAAAAAGCGTTGAATATGGGACAGAAGGGAACCTTGTAATGTCATTTCAAAGAGGGAGGAGGTTGTAACTGCTGTGAAGAAGATCGGAAGTCGCTTCTTTAATTATCTTTCACCTTTTTCTTTTCCTACTAGTATTGTTTTGTGCACTTATTCTTTTTTTCTTTCTAACTTTTCTTAATATATTTTTCATGTTTATCTTTTACTTCTGTAAAAATCTTTAATAAAAATTTACCAGGTTTGAAAGGTTAGTATGAACATATGAAATAGCCATACTCCTTTCATTCAGATATCCGGCAGCCCTTGTGCAAAGTCAGGTCGGCTTCCTACTGGGATTGGAGGCTTCTGGAGATCTGGGCGCAAGGCTAATCTGGGAAGTTAAAAAGCAGCCCATTCCATGGAGTCAAGAAAATATTTGGGGTACAGTAGTATTTATACAGTGTTGGTGGGAGATTAATAACACTCTGATGGAGATAACTTAAACCTTTAAAAATAAAGGGAAAATGTTTCTATTATTATGATTTCTAAAATATTAATATTAATAAACATAAGGTTGATTAGATTTTACATCTGAAGCCAAGTGTAGCATTGATAAACAACAGCAGAATACATTAAATTATTATATGCTAAAGGTTTCTATCTTAAGCTTAATGCTAAGATCTCTACTGTATTGTTACTTATTAGTGTTTTTGCATATTAAAAAAGGAAAAAAAAAACAAATGAAAAAAAACCTATTTGGTATATTACTTCCCCTTTCTTGCACACTACCAATTTGTGGTGTTTATATCCATGTAGGCCTCCTTAGAAATCATACTGTAAGCATTTGTATTTGCTATTACAGGGAAATTATGTTTACTGTACACAGGAAAGTCTTATCTTACCATATTTCATAAAATACATTATTCAGGATTGGACTGGATTATTTGTGAGATCCTCTCTTTAAATATTGGCATCTTCTGTTGTAAGACAATGAAGAAAGACTCACATTTTATCTCCAAGGGAGCTCACCCAACCTGCTGAATGATGCCCTGGCCATGTTTTCTTCATGATAGCTGAGAGAAATAAGGGTACTTTGAACATTTGCCTTGTTTCAGGGTGAAACATTATTACTGCCCATTCTGACTGAAGTACCAGTCAGACTGTTTTATCCAGAAATACAGAGAGTGAGGAAAAATCTGCCTCCTGTTACAGCGCTTCAGTCCGTAAGCCACAATACTGAGAACAGAGGTATGCATCACTTTCAGATGACATCTTCTTGCCCTTAGGCTGGAGCAGATGTATCTGCACCTTCTCCCTTCTGATGTGCAATCAAACCTCGGTCCCAGTTAGTTTTTCCAAAGCCTCAGGACAATGCAAAGGGCATCATCAGACCAAGAAACCAAAACATGTTGCATAAAACAGCATGGAGGAAGGGGAGGAAGGATTTAAACAAAATTAAAGGAGCATACTTGCAACCTCTTGCACCAGTTCCTTCATCATTCTTTATCTCTTCTTAAAAATTAGCTTGCCTGTAAATCTCATCCCATTAAACTAAAAGCAGACAAAAAAATGTAACAGGCATTTGCGTTTTTCTCTGGAGTAAAGGAGAATTG